GACCAGGGGATCCCTCCCTTTGTCTAGAGTGTACGATGTACTGGAGTGGATGGTGTATATTACATCGTGGAGGCATCGCGGATCGTAACTGGTCTCTAAATACCAACTAGTGTAGCGCAACGTATGAAAGAGGGAAAGAGATAAAAATCTCAAGCAGATAATTTTTCTTATTCAACAAAACTAATTGACCAAAGCAGTCTCCAACAGAATAATAGACTTTTATGCCTCATAAAGTCTATGGGTGGGCGCGGTCCGATATTTGACCTATCCCGGTACATGTCCCTTCTTTTGAACTGATCCGGGAACGGTCCAGGATGAGACACCGTCCCAAATGAATCGGCATCAATCGGACCGGAACAAAACGGATCAAACAAAAGTTCTAATTGATTCACTTAATTATGTATGATTGCCTTCTCAGTTGAGTACTTGAGTTGACTTAACATTTTGGGGCCAAATAAATAGGTGATGGGTATTGTGTAATAGTTTAATTTTTTATTTTCTTCGGATCAGCGTATTTAGTATTGGGCTTCACTAGTTATAAATACAAAATTTATAGTTAATTATTTACTATAACACTAACATAAATATAATAATAATGTATAATATATATATATATATAATATTTTTATCAAAAAAATAAAACGGGACAGTTCGGACAAAAATATTCAAAATCGATATCAACATTGTTTCAAACGGTTCGTTATCGAGAATGGTACGAAAATTAGGAAAACCGTTTGTAACCCTATTTTTCAGAGCTGGACCATTTCAATCCGGTTCGATACCGAGAAATTCAATTTTTTTGCCCACCCCTAATAAAATTCTAACTTGCTAATCAAGTTTTAATCTTAAAAATAAAATATTATCCCAACAATAAAAAGATAAAAATATGAAATAATAAATATGTGAATAAATAATTATTTTAACGCCGTGATTCGATCGTATTTCTTCAAGAAAGCTATCACGAGCTCATCTTCATCAGATTCTCTAGATCCAGTGGTTAAAAAAATTAGGTTTTGATTAAGGGCAGGCTGAATAGTTTATGACAAGGGGCTCTTAATTAATGCTAACCATATGCAATTAAGGACAAGTGCGTCCAAAAATGGGCTTTTCTAATTAAATTAATAAGAAGGTTCAATGAGGCTTCTGTTAAGCTTCGCATCAGGGTAGAAAATATGGATTTGATACTGTGCATATCCGTCTGTTGCGTTAATCACAGTGCTCTGTCCTAACTTTTGAGTTTTATTATTTTATAAATTTTGTTGGTTTAATAACAACAGCCTTTTTTAAGAGATGATTTGCAGTTTCAAAGTGATATCAAGTGGTGCACATGTAAGAGAATGACTTTCAAACTTTTTAATGTGAACTACTGTGTGGCCCGTGCGATGCACAGAAAAATAATATTACGATTGTGTTATGAATTAAATATATAAATAATATTAATCAAGATCCATCATTTTCTTAAATTAAACCGTGTTCGGTCACAGGCCGATCGGATGGACAGAGAACTGGTTTATAACCAGTCTAGTTCGCTTGAATAAAATATTTGCTATCGAATCCGTCAACAACAGTCGGTTGAACTGGTAGGATCGATACGATTTTCTAAATAAATTTTGCTACATTTAAAATTATTTTAAATAAAATTACATATTTAAATAAAATAGAGATTTATAAATTGTTTATTAATTAGTTTAAATATTTGAAATTTTAAATTGTTTAGATATTTAAGTAACAAAATTTATTTGAATTTATTACAAAAAGTACTATATATATTAAAATATTTATAATTAAAAATCTGAACAAACCACAAATGATTTAATAATATAACTTGATCGTTTCGATGATGGTCCGGTTATGAAAACCTTATATTTACTGTACATTAATAAAAATTATAATAAAATATTATTTTATTCACATAAATATTAATAAAATGATATATATATTTATAAATTAATAAACATGCTTTCATAAAAGTATTGTTAATATGATTATTTGAAGTTTGAACTACATCACATTCACGTAATAAAGTATTTTTAATATTAAAATTTAAATTTAGGTTCAATAATCGATTTGGTCTGGTCAAACTGTTATATAAATTTGTCACATAGGACCAACCAAGTTGTGTGAAGTTTTTTTTTTTTTTTGACTATTTTAAATACCACCTAAATCAATCAACCTGGGCAATACCCTAATTTAATCACCCGATTGATCTAAAGAAATTTCCTTATTTTATTTACATATATTTAATTTTATGAAATTAAAATATTTTATGATTCATATAATAAATGTCTACACCAAATGATAGTATCTTAAAATTATAAATTATATATCTAAAGATGCATTAATTATTTTTACTTTATGCATATTAATAAAAATAAACATAGTAATTTTCAAAAAAATTAAGATTACTTGATTTTTTATCAATTTAAATAATATTTTTAGCATTATTTTTTTTAAAAGACACAAATACAAAGACCGATATTATAAAACTTGTTATTATTTGAATTGAAATTTTATAAACATAGAGACTGAGATTTTAATGTTGTTCGTTGGTTCTAAGAAAAAATAAAAATAAAAACATGCACACATAATAGATCTTAGCCGGATTTTGTAAATAATAAAATGAACTAAAACCGAAATTTAAGGTGATATTTAATGATGTATGATTTTAAAGAAAAAAAATAAGAAAAATAATAAAACTTACTATTTATGGGCTGCATTAAATTCTGACCTATTTTTTTGCTAATATTTTTTGCACACAGGTTGTCTCTATATATGTATAGATTTAATAAAAAAATATTGGTAAATTTAGTTAAGAAATAGAAAAAAGAATCCACAAATTTAAGAAAAGATCATTTTTGAAAAGGTTGATCAATCATAGGGAAATATCAATTTTATTTTATTTTTATTTAAAAAAAAAAAAACTAACACGAATTACTTAACAAATAAAATAAAATTCAATTATTGAAAAGATTGCACTTTTTTTTAATAGATTTGAAAAAGGAATCAAAATAAATGAGTTGGATAATACATAAATGGTGAACAGATTTTGGAATGAATTTGATTAGTGTATCCCATTCAAATCTCATTTTTTGAAACCAATTGGCATGTCTGTTTGTATCATATTCTTAAATAATTTGGATAAAATTTCAAATTCCTAAATAATTTTTTTTTTAAAAAAAATCTTAAGATAGTATGTAATAAATACTTTTTTAAATTTTTGAATTACTATTTTTAATAAATAGTAATTCTTTTTATGTATATATATAGATATATAGATTAATGGGGGTGTTTTAGGAATAATTTGTCTTTTCTATCTATAAATTGATAGATTGTTTCAAAGTTTTTCTTGGGAATATTTTGGAGAAATTATATTATTAGCTTGATGAAACTGTTTTTTTTTTTAATCTTTAAATATCATTGCTACATATACTTTCACGCTAATCTTATCATATTTTGTACTAATGAAAAATAAATTTTGTTACTGTTCGTCCCATTTTTGTTGCGTTTTTCGTGATTATTTTTCTTTTCTTTTTCCCCCATTTTATGTTTTTCCCTTAGTTCTGGTCCGTTTTATTTCGTGTCGTGTGTTTTCATTTATTTAGAGTCTTTATGTGTTTTTTCGATTATTTTCTTCGTTTTCTTCGTTTTTGTTTTCGTCTTTTGATGTCCAGGGTAGGTTCCTCGTTTGAGTATCATTTTATGGAAAATATTATTGGCGAGCTTAATTCGTCGAGGGATTCGTCGGCGTCACGTAGGCCGAGGTCGATCGAGTTCAAACGAGTCAACGACCGATAGCGGGCCCCAAACTCGTGCCATGTCGGTGTCAGCGCAGCAGCCCTCCTCACGGCACACTACAGTCCATCACCTTCACGGTAGACCATCTTCACGGCAGCCCTTCTTCATCCATGCCGTGAGTCCACAGCGCTGCGTCACCACTCTCAGACCTCCATGTGCAGTAGAGCAGTTTCGAGACCAAACTCCTGCCACCCCATGCTGGAAAGCGCACGCCATGAACTGCGTCCACCGCCGCGCCGTGAAGACCACATCACGCCGCGCCACAGCACTCCTCCACGCCGCGGAGAAGCCTCATGGCGCGCCACCACTCTGCTCCGCGCCGCGACGGCCATCCTCTTCACGCCGCGTCTGCTATAGACTTTCAAGACCGTGCCCAAAAATCCTTGGCCGCGGCCGCGGCGAACAAAGTCACGCAGCATCCCCGGAGCTTCAGCGCTGAAATATCGCGGCCGTGGGAAATCTCGCGGCCGCGGAGCTTCTCTTCACCGCAGCCCGCGGACCTCTCCGCGGCCGCGAGTCGCGCGTTAACAACTTTTAAGATCAGATTTCACGCACGTTGAAGGGACACACGCTCGACTGGGGCGAAAGCCCTAGGTCCGGAGAAAATTCACGAACTCCTCTCTTCTCCTTCTTCTCGATCTTTCTTCTTCTTTTCATTTTTATTTTTCATTTTTTTCTTTTTTTTCGGATTAAGCTTGTATCTCGTCTTCAACATTCGAACTTGGATTGAAATAATTGTAAGCTTTTCTCTTTTGTTTAATTCATGAACAATGATTAAATTAGGAGAATCGTTTTATCGTGTTGAATTCATGATACATAGC